ATGTTTTTCTTTTAATAATAAACAGCCTATTTAAAACAATTTTAATAATACGGGAATAAGGATTACTCTCAAATAAACATGAATCCATCAGAATTTTGCTCACAGTTTTAGGTTTTCATAGAATAAACATAAGAGAGTAATAATAGAGAGAAAGGACAGATTTGTAGTAATATTTCTATTAGATCTATTGAGTTATTATCAATAATATAGACAGGATTAGGGCAGCCATATGGTTTCACAGACATATTAAAGCCTTCAGACAAGACAAGGAGGTCTTACATAATAAGATAGACTGGAGGGGTGAATCCCTCTTTAGTCACATGTGAAACTGGATGTTATGAAAGAGCACAACATTATAAGTTTGTTTACGGGCAGCAGCAAAGTCTGCATGTACCAGCACCTAAAGTTAAACAATTACGGGTGGAGGAAAAAGTTTGAGTTCAAACGAGGTTTAAGATCATGTTCAGGACAGAGAAGAATAGCACGTCAGCTCAACCGGTCGTTCAAGACAAGCTGTACGAGGTTCTTATGCAAATATGTAGATTTTTTTAATGATTTATTGTTGCAGCAACAGAAGAGCATTTCGGTTCAACTTTGGAAACACAGCAGATGCTGTTACCATGCAAATATCAGCAGCCTGGTGCTCTAAGCTGATAAAGAAACCATGCAAATTGTGAAGTCACTGGTTATGGTTACAATAATCCCCCTGCTGCCCACCAGGCCAAAGTTTAAATCTGAAGCCTCGAGAGTCATTTTGACCCAACATGTAAAGCAATTTCACCCAAAGTGTTTATCACAAAGGAATCCCTCATTGCTCAAGTCAGGTTATTTCTTAAACACCAAGATCTCATATTGTATCTAACATGAGAAGAAATATTCTGAGGGTGCCATAAATAAAAATTAATTGTTGCAATAATCCAGCATGTGTTATAAGCAGACTTTTCACCACATTTGACAGTAGCTCTACATCAAACATTTCATTCAAGCTTCTGTTGCTTAAGGGCTCAAACTATTTCCTTGTAGATTTGATTTTTTTTTCTCACTAAACATTACACAATTTGTAGTATTTTGTATTCTCATAGTTCTGCACTTTTTAAAGCAGTGGTTCCACAATTTAATTAGAAATATATAGGGGTGTAAGAAAATATCGATACACTGAAATATCGCAAGATTTCATTTCCCAATACTGTATCGATATTCTAAAGCCCTGTATCGATTTTTTATTAAGGTTTAAAACGTCAACTTTCCTGCCAGCCGTTCATTTTTATGTTGTAGTTCAGCCTCTGACCACTAGTAGGCAGCAGTGAGCCAGCCATTCGGCTCCATCTCTTGAGGCAGAGGCTATTGTTAAGTGTTGGGTGACCATATTGTAAATTAATGTTAAAAACTAAAAGCTGCAAAAAATATATTTTCAAACTGTTTATTGTCAAATTTAGTCTAATAATCGAAAACATGGATGAAGTAAGAAATATGAAACAAATAAAATAAAACACATACAAAGCAGAACACAGCTAAATGTATCAAAAGTATGTCTATGTAATATTAGAATTTTCTGAGACAATGAATTTTGGTTTTTCATTTTTTTCCCTGTAAGAGGTTTTTATTTAATAGAATTTTTGGACAAAAAAATAGCAATATATTGCAACATATATCGTATCGTGACCCCTCTGTCATATGTTTCGTATCGCCAAATTCTTGCCAATACACAGCCCTAAAAATATACAAGTTATATTAAACAATGTGATGCTTTATGCAATTGTTTTGCACCCAAATTCACTGTTTGTCTATTTTAAACATCTAACTCAATCAATCTTATAATTGTTGAATAAATTAAAGATTACTTACACTTAGCATTTATTAAGAATAATGTAAAGAAAAAAGCTTGCATCTCCCATTGTACTTTTGACATATTTATTGAAGTGATAAACATTAACAGGAACACACATCAATACACATTTGCTTCATTTTACGAACAAAAAAAATATCCGTCTTGCAGCTGGTTGACATTTCCTCATGTCCTTTTAGATTAAACAAAGACTGTTTTGATGTAGTTTCGCTGTCAGTCCATCACTGATGTTTATTCTTGTACATATTCTCAGCAGCCAAGCCAGGGATCTTCTCTGTTTGTTCTGGAAATGAAGGCTATCTTTTGAGCCATTTCCATGTGATATATGCGCCTGCAGCACTCATAGTTTTTCCGCCGTCGCATTATGCAGGGCTTCTCGTAGTAGCGTTTGCGGTGCGCTGCTTCAAGGATCCCTTCTTGAGTCAAAATCCTGGAGAACGTAGAAATTAATATGTAAATAGCATGATGGGGAAAAAAAACAGGCAGATGTCTTATTTGGATCTTAATATAGCCTATGTTGTTTCTAATTTTAAAACTAATGATGTTCTTCTGTAGTGAAAGTGCTGAAATAATACAAACTCCAGCTGTTCATTGATAAACATAATTTGTAGTGTGTGCCTACTGCGCATGCGCACCTCTATGACATTGAGCGGAAGGTTAAAGCTAAAGCTAGCGTCGCTGTCCCGGGCTATAAACTGAACCGACATTAAAAACGAGTGAAATTCGTGAGATTTAACCTGTTTAAAACACCGTACGATCCCTGGATGTCACCATCTTTAACCATCACCGTCCGAGCGAGGAAGCGAAGGTGCCTCGACATGATGAAACGGGTGCGTTACTTATTCAAGTCCGGAAGGTAACGCGTGGACTATAAATGGTTCCGCAGCCAAGGCTTACTCAAAGGTTCCGGGTGCAAGTCAAAACTACATGCGTCGCCAGGTGGCGCTTTAGGCAATTTAGTCAATTCTGTGGAACAACCATAATTACTTGCTCAGCTAAAACAATGTTTTTCTTAATTATATGTTTCCCTCGTAATTAAATTACGTTTTAAAATGTAGTATGACAAGTAGAAACACACTACTGTCATTCAACAGAGTGAGATTTGCTCTTTCAACAGTTCATTCAGTTGCAGAAATGTTTGTTTCTGATATTGGCAATATACAGTATATATAT